TCTGTGGTAACCCATCTGTCCATGCATCCTTCCATGTTTCTTAGCTGAATTCTTATTTGGGTTTTGAATTTTTGACAAAAGTAATCAGCTTTTCTTTATTTGGGTAGACAGCATTGCCAATTCGAATCATAACGGTGGGGAAGAAGAGGCCCCCAGGTGTCCAGTTGCTGATAGATGGGTATATCGATAAGATCAGAAACTACGGTCCTGTTGATGATGTTCTAATTCGGTCTAACCCCAAAAATGCACGGTGCTTCCATTCCCCTTTTCTGTAATTTTATGCCATTAATCTGTTTTTATAGTTTCTGACTTAATTTAGACGATTTTATGTTGGTTTTGTTTATGTAGAGATGTGAAGGCCCAGGTTGATGATGAAGATATGGCTGTCATGAACCATATCAGGTCTGATGACTGCGTACTCGTCCGGAAACCCTCCATAGTTTTAGTTTAACTTTGTTTTTTTTTTTGTTAATATCATTATTGGTCTGGTTTAGAGAGTTTTGGAGATACTGTTCTTGTTGGGATTTATCCTTGTTCTGGGATCTTTTGATTATAGGTTGTGATGTTGGATGAGCATGGATTGGATATAGGGTCTGAGCGGTTTGCTGAATTAGTTGGAGATGCAGGGAGTAAGGTAGGGAACTGCAACTCACTAAAAGGTTGCTGAGAGAATGATGTTAATTTATGTGTGAAATTGGATTTCTTCTTGGTATCAATCTTTCATTTTTCCTTGACAAGAACTATATATAGCAATTCAATTTCTGATCTTGATATATCTGAGATAAAACTCATGGCTAAATATGAGCAATTCAATTTCCAATGATTTCATGTACTTTGATTTGCTGGAGAAGATAAGATCACCAGATTGAAATCTATTTGGATTTTTTCCTTAGGTAGGCTTTAACTAATTAAGAAAGTCATTGCTAGTGATCATGTGAAAGGCAACTTACCAGTTGGCTTATAAGGTTGGGTCATTTCCAAATTATATTTGGACCACTTTCCTCTTCATAATAATAAATTATACATGTTATCTCTTCCTGTTTCACAGGGAGCTTCAAGTTTATTATTTTGTATTGGTGGACCTTATGGTCATGGAAGACAAATACAAGAACGTGCTAATATATCAGTCATCTTCAATGGTCTTGAATCATCAAATTCCATTTGTTGTGCTCGTGGAACTTTACAGGTTAGAGTAATACCAACTTATATGCTAGTGCATCGATAATGATTACTTCAAACTGAGGTCATATTTGTTTGGAATGGGGATGGTAAAAACATCTGTGTTCATTGCAAATGAACTTTTTGAGTTGTGACAGTTTGAAAACTTACAGAATTTAGCTGCTTCTGACTGAGCCTGCATCACATTACCGCAGATAATCTTTATTGCTTTATGTGCTAGGAGAAGTCAAAGAGCTTTCTCTAAAGGGCCATTTTTTTTTTTTCAGGTCATGGACTATTCTGAAGGGGCAGAAGTACCATCATTAGATATTTCTCTTAATCTGAACCTTTCAATGTGAGTAATGCTAAACTCAATGCCTAGCATTACAAATATTCTCAATCAAATTAATCTCTCCGCTGCAAAACAGGGTTGCTTGGGACACATCTGAGCCATGTTAAATGTATTGTCAAGTATTTTATCCATGAGTATAGATTGGGAACCTAGAATGTCCCTTTTTGGTAGACTGAGACCAGACACAAGTCACTGGAGTTCTGAATATCTGGGAGTTGGTCTGACCTTCAATTTAGACTATACGAAAACATAAAAATGGATGTGGCAATTTCACTGCAGAAGTAGCACAGACAAGCAGTATGTCCGAAGAAAAGCTTGGTTTGGCCTTTTCGATCTAAGTTTCAAGCATTCGGTGGTAGACTGCGATTGTGTTGAGTGGTCCTGGATTTTCAAGTTACTACGTACGAACCACATTCTAAAGGGCACCAACTTCTGCCACATTTTAAAAATAAGAAGGAAATCGTGACACCAAGAAGTAAGTCAAGAGAGGGACTTTTGCTTTCAGCTTAATCCAGTAAATATTAGATGAACTTGGAGGATTAATATTGATTCAAGAAAACCCTTTTCCCCACCCTTCCCCTTTTTAATTTACATTCATGATCCAATTAATGAGAGAGTAGAACCATATGTCTGATGCTAACATTTTCTGGGGCAGATTTCCATGGATAGAAGAAAACAGATTCACGCGAGAAAGTCATCCCTGAACTTTAAATTTTGAACTAGGTATGAATTTGAACATTTTTGAAGTATATATTTATTACTAGATCAGCTTGATATATGTAAATATAGACATCTATATTTAGTAGTTCATTTCATTTTTTTGGTACATATAGTACATAGTTCATTTCATTACAACATTCCTTGATTTCAAAGGTAAGATACAACATATGGTAGGCGCATAGCAGCAGGATTTATTGATATATGTAAGTAGCATGAGGAATGGTTTAATACCATCCAGTGTCTGCTGCTATGATTAGTCATGGGCATGCATACAACTCTTAGAATTACTTCCAGTTCACGCTCACAGTCCAGGTTTCGTCGCCGCTGGGTGTGTAGCAAAGCTTAGCTTCGCTGGATCCCTGCTTAATTTCACCACAAATGGTTAATTTGTCGCTGTCACTTTTAGGTGCACTGGAGTTGTTAGCTTCTCCACTGTCGCTGCCACTTTTAGGTGCACTGGAGTTGTTAGCTGCTCCACTCTGGTTACCACTGCTGCCACCTTGGTTATCCCCACCCTTGCTGCCACCCTGGTTACCCCCACCCCTGCTGCCACCTTGACTACCCCACCCCTGCTGCCACCTTGATTACTCCCAGATTTGCTGCCACATTGGCTAACCCCAGATTTGCTGCATTGACTCCCCCCAGATTTGCTGCCACATTGATTACCCTTCGCCGTAATTTTTCTTTCACTGGAAATCTCAAACCCAACTAACTTGATTGATTATATTTGCTTTGTTCTCTTTGATGAATATTTGCAATCAAACTCTAATGATTATATAGGCTCAAGAAAAGCAAATCTAGCATCAAAATATGTTATTCCATTAATTGAAACAAGCATCAAATTCTATAACAGTGTCAGACAATTCACACGTTTATTCCGCCGCATTTTTTTACATCAACCACTAACCACGAGGTCTAGAAGGGATGGATTTTAACGGTGTCTCTTTTTTCTTTTTCTTTTTTTTGACGTAACGTGGTATTGAATTTATCAACCTGAAATGATTTAAGAGATTTATAATGACTCACCTTCTCGTGATTTTTTTAAAATTGAATTTTTGAACAATAAAGAGCAGAATTCCTTACCAACTGTTAGGGAGTAGGCCCAACATCAGCAATAAGGCTCAAACAGTCGTGTAAAACCTAAAAGTATAGGCACTGTAATCATAACACACTCACGTGACTTAGGACAAGTGTACCAATGGAGATCATTGTCATAAATGGGGCTTATAAATACCCCCAACAACCTCCATATAAGGTAATAACTTAATTACACTTTTCTTTCTGCAATAACTCTTTTTGAGAGTTTCTCTCTTTAGATTATAGAGTATCGTTAACTTGAGCATCGAAGTATTTTCCTCAAGAAAGCATCCTTGGGTTTTTCAGGTATTAGAGCAGTTTGTCATCTCCATAGTAAGAGCTCGTGAAGCTACCCAAACATTTAGTGTTGTCTATGGGAAAGAACAAAATAGTTGTGTTGTTTTACCGGTCAAGCAAAAATGGTGCAAACTTTTATAGGTTTTCAGCCACCTCAAGTGAATCGACAAGACGATCAAGCCCCCTTTCCTAGAATTGACTCGTGTGGGTTTGAACATTTACTTGATATTTTATTGGTGGGCGGTGTGGGCGGGGCAAAAGAAGTGCAGGACAATGGCTCAAATGACAAAAGAACCTTAACAAGCTATGTAACACAACCTGAAGGGCAAGAGCAACAAACCCCACCGAGAGCTTGACCAGCTAGGCGAGCAACTTGAATAGAACCTTCCATGCCTGTTGCATAGAATTCTAAACTTGAAGAAAGAACCAAGATCCTAGAAATGGCTATGGGAAGAATTCTATCACATCTTATCCTGGATGACCCTTTGATCCACTTGTTAAATAGAGGTCATGAACAATAGCCAAGAACCTCATCTTGTCGTTCCCCAACGTTGAGCAATATTGTTATACCCACAAAGCCTAAAGAAGTGAACGACCTAATGTAGAACCCAGCTCATCAAAATCGAATGAAGAGCCATTGAAAAAGAATGCCGAGTTGGAAAAACAATTGAAAGAAACCCAGAATTCTATTAACAAGCTAAAGAATCTAAGGTAACGACTTCAGGCCCCAAACCTAGATACTGCTCCCCTTAGGTTGTCCATTACATCCAAACCTTACCAAGAAGGGTTCAAAATTCCTCATCTCGAGACATATGATGTTTAGAAGACCTTGATGAATATTTGCATACATATCAGGCTATCATGAAGATATAGAATGCTACAGATGCGATGATGTGTAAGGTGTTTCTAGCTACTTTGAATTCAACAACTCGAAGATGGTACCACAAACTATCAAGGCATTTAATCACCTCCTGCTCCCAGCTCACCACATTGTTTTCTAATAAATTTGTGAGGCAACGGGAGATAAAATGCACAGCTAGAGAGCTGATGCAAGTTCATTAGAAGGAAAATGAGTCCTTAATGGATTATATGTAGAGATTTAATAAAGCCACTTTAGACATCGACAATGTCCTAGATACTATTTGCCTATTCACCTTGTTCGACGGGCTGAAACTTGGTCACTTTCTTGATGACCTATTGAAAAACCCACCAAAGACATGGAGTGAAGTCAATAACAGGTTAGCGAGTTTTATCTTTTTAGAAGATTTTCAATCATCAAAGAGACAAGTAGATGATAAGCTAGAGAAAGACTTGAAATAGGAGGGGAATGAAGAAAAGAAAAAACAAAAAGTTGCTAACCAAAGAGGAAGGTCAAGCAGCTTTTAGCCCTCACCTAAATATGCAAATTACACCCCACTGAGCTTGTCAAGATCCCAGATTCTTGCCCAGATAGAGCAGTGGATAAAGAGACCAACTCCCATTCATTTGTTACATCAATATATTCTTTCTTGATGAACAATCTAGTTCATGTGTGTCAGGTGGACCTAAACACAACAACAATATTTAACATGAAATCAAATATCAATTCGCGGAGTAATCCATCTTATGTTTAAGTACACATATTTCTTATTACTATTTTAATGTGAGATTTTTATCACTTAACAAACTTTAGACTTTACTTTGTTTTTCCTGGTTTTTTCGGTTGTGGGAACCTTATATGTTTGAATTTTAATATGAGATCTCTTTTCTAGCAAAAATACAGGGAAAAAAGAAAGAAAGAAAGAAAAAAGACCTTTTAAGAGACTTTAAACTCTCAAAAGTTTTGTGCCCAAAACTGTTAGACTTTCTATTAAAGAATAGTAAATGTGGACCATGCAGTTTGGTGATAGAGTTGTCTCTATTTTTAGTCATAAGTTTATTGTTCAGTCTTTAATTTCTATGTTGTAAAAAAAAAAAAAGAACATTTGGATGTGAAACAATGTCTAGTGAGTTGGACCAAGAATTTCCAAGCCAAGATTCTGCTAGCTTGAATAATTATTTGTAAATTGTAATTAAAGGATCTGAAATATGTAAAGACCTTTATGTTGTTTCATTGGATGAGGGCAAACCGCTCTAGATTCAGGGGGCATGTATCCAATGGCCCATGTTTGCCTTCTGGTGCGGTCTAGACTACAAAGCTTTTTTTTTTTTTTTTTGACAAATTAAATAACCCATGGAAGTATTTTGGTCCAAAAGTGCATCACAATTATCTGGAAAACATAACATTAAGTCATTACATTGAGTATCCCAAAAGTTCTTTAAATCTTACAGATGCAGAGGTCAAAGGTTTAGTTGTTATGTGGTTGATTCATTGTTTATCAAATTTCATTTAAGGAGAAATGATTGCAAATGGTGTTCTCTTCTTTATTTGTTTTCAGACTTCTCACTGAGACTGTAAGGCAATCTCAAGGTGCTTGGGGTGGTTCAAGTGATTGGAGTGAAATTGAGGTTTTGCCTAGTATTATCAAATATAAAAAAGATAAAAAAAAATAGCTTTTTCGTTCTTTAGCTTCATTTGCTAGTGAATTAGTGATAGAGTTATTTTAGTTTTCAGATGGAGGAATTTATTGTTAAGAAAACTGTCAATTACTTGAAAATCCGCTTGTCTCTTGAAAGAGATTACCATTCCATCTCTTGCATTATAGGAAACATTGATTTACTGATATCCCAACTCCATCTCATATATATCCTTAATACCCCCCATGATCCAGAAAAAAATGAGACCAACAAGAAAGGAGATAATCTAGCTTTTGTTGAACACTCCAAAAGTTCTAAACAATAAAATTTTACCAACTAATGTGTGCATGATATCAGGCCTTTCAAGTCTTTTCATTTCTTTTTCTTTTTCTCATGTTCAGCTTGCATTTGGAAACATAATACTATAATATCTATCAGCTTAGGCTTC